AGGATGAAGTAGAGGATCCAACAGTTGATATCTTTGTGGATAAGGAAAATGTAGCAGATTCGTCCATTCATGTTGATTTTCCTCATCAAACTTGCCAATCTCCTAATGCCTCTACATCTCCTTAAGATCCATCTTCCTTTCATAGGCTATCTACTTCTACAGATACTCATGCATTTCATCCAGAACCATCTACATCACATCCGTATCTTTATCCATCTAGAGATGAGTTCGCTCAGGAATTGAGAACACAATTACTACATATGGTAGAGATTTTATAGAGGACAAATGAAGAGTGGATAGATGAGATGTGGTCTTACATAGACCAAAGGTTTGATTGTGTTATATTTTTTTCTAGACAAATTGATGAGGAGATATCATATGTTGTAGAGTGGATTAAGAATTCTAACCCGTCAACAACACCTTACACATATCACTCTCCTCTTCGTAGTGGATTTATGAATACTGGAGAGGCATGTGATGTAAATGAGGATCCACTTATACATGTAGAAGTTCATTCATGTTGATTTTCCTCATCAAACTTGCCAATCTCCTAATGCCTCTACATCTCCTTAAGATCCATCTTCCTTTCATAGGCTACCTACTTCTACAGATACTCATGCATTTCATCCAGGACCATCTACATCACATCCGTATCTTTATCCATCTAGAGATGAGTTCGCTCAGGAATTGAGAACACAATTACTACATATGGTAGAGATTTTATAGAGGACAAATGAAGAGTGGATAGATGAGATGTGGTCTTACATAGACCAAAGGTTTGATTGTGTTATATTTTTTTCTAGACAAATTGATGAGGAGATATCATATGTTGTAGAGTGGATTAAGAATTCTAACCCGTCAACAACACCTTACACATATCACTCTCCTCTTCGTAGTGGATTTATGAATACTGGAGAGGCATGTGATGTAAATGAGGATCCACTTATACATGTAGAAGTTCAAAATGATGAGAATGAAGATGGCAATAATGAGAGATAAGTGAAAGATTATGTGTTGGCAAATGAACCAGTTCTTGTTAAAAAATAATGTTGCCCACAAATGGCAATGAACAAAAACAAGCAGCTGATATGAATAACTGTCCAAATCCCATTGAAGTGGAAAATGCAAAGACAAGCAACAGATTTACCGAATGATGATCAAACTCGTGTGGAAGAGAGAGATACCTGTGTACCGATGGATTCTATATCACATGGTGATGTAATGGAGTCCATCCCTACAGTGGTGGAAGATGAGTCTGATAAGTCAAGTCAAAATGGGCGCAGGATGATAATCAAGAAAAGATCACTCATTCTTGAATCTCCATTCACAAATTCGGAGAAGAGGAGGAAGCTTCACAATGTAAACGCATTTGACTCATTTCGAAAGTTAGATCCGGCTAAGGCAGATGACTTAGAAAATTGGTTGGTTAATGCACCTGACAGGTAACATTCTTACATTAATTATTTTTGTGAAGTTGTAATATATGTTCTTATGTTATTTGTTTTATGCAGTGAACATGTGGAAATGATATTGTTCACGAAGCCAAAAAGTTTTTTTTGTTGAAATTCAGAAGCAATTTGGATGGCTCAATAGTGATATAAGTATTTTAGCATTCTATATTTTGCTCATACTTCATTTCATTCTTAAACGGCTTTACACATTTGCAGCACATTGATATAGTGTTGTTGTTGATGAGGGCATGAATACATACATATCATACTGTGTTCCCACAAGATTGTGCAATTTTGATTTGTGCTTTTACTAACATGTGCATCCAAAGGTTTGAAGATTTTGAGTTGCATAAGAAACAAAAAAAAAGCCAATAGAAGATTTTAAATGGTTGAAAAATATGACAATATATATATATATATATGGTAAAAGTTCAGAATGGAGCAAGCGATGGAATTCTTGTATATCATTGTATATTCTTTGCAATGTGGAAATGAAGCACTGGATTGCACTTAGACATTGCTGAATGAACTATATATGTATATGATAGCATGAAGAGTTTGACATGTTTTGGAAAATTGCAAATAATCATGCCTCCAATTGTAAATGTGATTCCTAGAATGATGAAGGAAAGTTTGTTATTCGAGGAAAACTACCCATAGAAGTAGTTTTTATGGCGCTGACATGCAGATGTTCCATAACAAAACAATGTGTCAATAATCTATTTTTAAATTTTTTTAGATTTTCACTTTTTTGAGAGTGCATATATTTATTATGACAAATATATATTTGCAGGGAAGATTGCGGGATATACGCTATCAAGTTCATAGAACTTTTATCGGCCGAATTAGACATGAAACTTATGTCCAATTCTATGATTGAAAGTTGGAGAAACTAGCTGCGAAAGTTTTTGCTATGCATTTTGATCCATAATTGTTGTTTTGGTATATTTTGCACATTTATATGGTCAGAAGATATAGAACTCCGATGCTATTTTTGTCTAGATGGTAGTTTTTGAATGATTTAGTTGGAAAACATGTGCACAAATGCTTTTTTGTCTAGTCAATTTTGGATGTTCATCAGTCTTCCTATGAAATCTATGAATGTTGATTTTATCTACTCAATCTGGATGTTCATCAATTAGATTTGTCTAGTTTTTTTGGATGTTGATTTTCTAGTCAGATTTGTGTAGACGATAGTTTTTTTGGATGTTGATCAACATTTTTTACAAATTTTGTTATTTCATTATACAGATGTTTCATTCAAATATTGAAGCAGACATGGTTGAAAGGGAGATGCAGTTTGTCATGACAACTTATCTATATGGTGTTGAAAAATAGACTATTATATGAAAAATGACAGTTCTGTGTTTAAAACGACAGCATGCCGTTTGTGTCATACAACTAAAGTGCTCTCCTGAAGTGCACCGAAATGTGCTATATTTTTGTGTACCTGTAAAAGGATCGCCTATATTGAATCACACGTGATTTTTTGTATACCGTATACCTTAAATGGCACCCATACGAGTAAAATGTCAATATGTCGTTTTGGGTCAAGGAGTCTCGAATTCACTCCAAACGCCCAGCTGAATAATGTTGAAACATCATTAAAAACACTGTACGAAGAAAAATTGTAGTATAGGTTTAAACCCAATACCCTAAACCCTAAACTACAACCATACGTTTGAAACGCCCAACTGCTGTTTTAGGTAATGAGGTACCGATTTCACTCCGAAACTAGAGCAATTATGTTTGGGACATGATACACGTCCAGTACACGTTGAACCACTACACGTGCTATGATTTGCATACCACACTTGCCTCTTAGGTTGTTCTTCATTGTCCAGTGAAGTGTAGTGTACTAGATTCTCTCCGACCATAGAGAAACTTACTATAGTTTCGACAAATTTGTTGATCTTAATGTCGAAATATAATTCGAATCTTCGTTCTTCAATTTTGAAGTGGTTACGGGCTTCATTGCACCAAACGAACACGAAATGAGTGTAAATGTCTCCCATACGTTGCAAATGCCCAGCTACCGTTTTGGGCTAAACAAATAGTGCTATTGTCATTTTTATCATAAACTAACTTACAAATCTATTACAATTGATCAAAATATCATCACAATATAAAGATTAAATTAAGGATTAACATTCATCCATCCGTAACAAATGTGAATGAACAAAAATGAACACAAAACGAGTAGACATAGCACCCATACATTTAAAACCATCTTATGCAGATTTGGTTTGAACAAGCTGTGCTGTTGTCTTTTTTACAAAAAATTGACGTATAAATCAATTATAATTTATCCAAAAATATCACAATGTAAAGAATAAATTAACAATTAACATCCATCCATCTATAACAAACTTGAATGAACAATAAATGAGTAGAAATAGTACCCATACATTTAAAACGGCCAGATGCCGTTTCGGTTTGAAAAAACAGTGATGTTGTCATAATTATCAAAAATCTGTCTGAAGTAGCTATTATACTTTATCAGACAACTATTAAAATTTATCAAAAATATCATAATTTATCACAATTTCAAGATTATGTTAAATAAAAAATGTTCTATGCATCTGTCAACTAGTGTAGAGCATTTTTGCAAGTCAGATGATTATGGCCCCTCTGACCACACCTACTACATTTACGTGTCCTTTTTCCCTCTCCTCTTGATGGAATTCAACAGTTTCTTGGATGTCCACTTTGTCGTTGATTTGAAAGGGGTGGTAACACCTTTGGCTGATTAGAGATTTCCCAATCAGCAATCTCCAATCAACCTCATTTGCCACTGGATATATACAACATATGCTTGTTTCCAACTAACACTGGAATAATAAGGTGAGCACAAACTGTTACAAGATATTCCCTTAAATTTCGTTGTTGCAAGTGCATGTTTGCAATGAAACTTTTTCAAATCAAATTCCCTACAACTACAGATTCTTGCCTCCAAGTTCACGATATGTATTTCATTCTCAACACTGACGTGCAACTCATACTCATTTATCGGTACCACTATCAGTCCCTTTGCATCATCATACTTTTTACGTATTTTATCCTCAACGGACGGGGTTAGAATAGTAGCACATTTTTCAGCCTCAATGTGTCTCTCATAAAATCATTTCTGTAAAGATTTTCTTATTTGCTCAATCATAGCAAGTACTGGAAACTTCTGAGCATTTTTGAATAACGAGTTCAAAGATTCTGCATTGTTAGTTGTCATAATATTATAACGGATTCCTTTGAAATGTGCTCGGGACCAAAATTCATACCCAACTTTCTTTTCCAGGTATTGTCCAACTGTCGGACTTTTACGATATTGATTTGCCATTGATTTTTCAAAATTAATCAAACTATACTCATTTACAGTTGCCATAAACAATGGCAGAATATCGGTCTTATGATAATTTGATTTTATGCTTAGTTGTAGATGTCACATGCAATATCCATGATGTACATAAGGATAAACAATCTTTATAGTGTTATCAATGCTATCATTGCGATCAGAAATGAAAACAAACCCTTCCAACATACTCATTACCTGAAACAACTTATCGAAGAACCAAGTCCATGATGCATCGTTTTCAGGATCAAGAATGCCAAATGCAAGAAGATATGCATCTTGACACAAGTGGCAACAAGTAATGTACCTCAAAATTTGGATTTCATAAATGTTTCGTCCATAGAAATGACATGTCTAATTGATGAGTGAAAACCATATATGCTTACTCCTAAAGCTATAAAAAAATATTTGAATCGGTTCTCACTATCAATCTCAGTGAACGTCACTGTACTGGGATTATTCTTCTTCAGAATATTGCAATACTTGGCAATCTATCATAACTAAGATCAGGTGAAGCTCTTAATAGCTCTATATCACATTCTCTAGCCATCAATGCCTTATAATAATTTATATCTATGTCAAACTCCCGACGAATATCATTTTAAATGTTCAAAAGTTTGTATATAATGTTGGGATCCTCAAACTTCGACATGATATGTTTTCCAATCATCCAACAACTAGCTTGTCTATGATCTTTATGGCGAACATGCAATGAACAATTATGATAACGTGAAGACTTTCGAATTTCAAATTCGTCACTTTCCTTCAATCGCATTGCCTGCAAACGCCATTTGCAAATTTCCTCAACACAAACTACTAGATATGCGACGATGACCTTAAATTCAAAAGAGTTTCTTACAGCAAGTATTTGTAGTGATGCTTGAAGATCCTTCTTGTTGTGAAAAATTTGGCTAACGTGCACATCATCGAAGTTAGGAATCTTAACCGATGTTCCACAAGGTTTCAGACAGGCAACAACCTGGAAAATGCCAATGATCTCATCTACCAATATAAAAAGTATATTATAAGTAACATTGTCTTCATTTATCATATGAGAATCATCTAAGTAGTTGCCATGTACTACTTCTACCCCATCCCAGTAATCATCACTTGTAAAGTTCACACAATCATTTTGACAATTTTGATTACATGGAGACAACGGTCGCATATAATTGTCATCATACTGATCTTTTTGCATATTCAATTCATCCATGTCCACCGCATTGTTAGTTGCAACAACCTTTGAATTGTATTCATGATTCTCCTGAACATTTATAATATCAATATCCATGTCTTATTGATCAACATAACCCTTTTCTACAAGGGTTACACAAATTGGAACTTTATCATGCAAAGAAAGAAATCAACTAACATCCACATCGCAAGTAATCTTTATTGGCGGAACTAATAATTTTGCCATGACGGGAACGAGAAATTTCATCTTGATGTCATACATATTGGGATCAACCTTAACTGCTTTTCGGACTTCGTTATACAACTCTACATATGAGATTATTTTTTATGCAAAAATATTTGTTGCGGTATTTTCATCATTCCCTATTCATTTCCAAATCCATCCACCTTCATCACTCTTTTCAAATTTAACAAAATAACAAATAACAATCATTGCACCAGAGTCCATATCTGCAATTCAACAAAAAAATATATAATATATTACTCTATTAATTGTCAAAACTGAATACTATGAATCACAGTTTCAATAACAAAAAAAAAATGCCACTCATATTGTTACATAACATATTGAAGCATAACAAAACAACATTCTGTAGTTTAAAATGTGTATGTGCCGTTTAAATCTATTTATGATAATAAAGTGCTATAAAAGAATGGAGAAACAACTAATTTGTCAACAAGTATATCAATACTACCATTGTTGTATTAAAACGGTAGCCAATTGGGAAAAAACAGCACCCAACTACTGAGAAATGACACCATTCTGTTTCACTATTTTACAGCAAATTTCAATTACACAATTGATTTTTCTCATAGTATACAATTAGAAAATAACAACAAATCGATAATTTTCAATTGATAAAGCTCACCTTCAATTGTGTAAAATCGATTCTTGCTAATCCACCTCCAAAATTTGTACTATTTGATTTGTTCTTGGTTCAAAAAAGGGAACTTCAACATGCAGTCATTCATTGTAAGTAAGAATGATGCATATGAAGAAGAATAAAGCTGAATTTGAAGGTGAGTTTAATATGGTGAAAATGGACTTGGAAACGAGAGAAATGAAGGGGATTTAGAGATTTATATTTGGAGATTTGGGTAATATTGATCTCCAAATGGGACATTTTAGTCATTTCAATTTAAGGGTATTTAAGACTTTTAATATATAATCAAATAGACTATAAACTACTTGAATAAAAAGTATTGATATAGGCTATTTTACTAAACATTATGGTTGACTAGACTTCTTAAACAAATCCCCCATTATTTAATCATGTGAAAAAAATAAGTTAAAGAAAAAAACTAAAACCTAAAACATAAACTATAAAACTCTAGACAAGATTTATCATTAAAAAAAATAATAATAGTCACTTATAATGTGATGACAAGTCACTAATATTTATCTGGTACAATAATGTCAAAATGGCTAACAGTCCATTCCGCAACTTCATTGCCACTAACATATATCTCAGTTCCCAAGTCAACAGATGTCCAGTGTCTCTCCACAGGTTTAGTCCCTGGATCCTGCATTGTCACAAAACAAACATTCTTCAAAAATCTCGAAAAACTCGTGAGACTCGATCTTAAATTTTATTGAAAATAAAGTTTAGTTTATGAAAACTCGAGGATATACCTGATAGAAGTAAAGTGATTGAGAGAGTCTCCCAACATCAAGTTCCCAACTTCTTCCATCACCAATCCAGCCTTCACCCTTTCTTGTGGGATACCCATATTCTCCCCAAACTGGATGAGGTAAAATTTGGAGAATTTCTTGAGGCTGTGGATTGCTATAAGCATCACAATAGTTAAATGGTTCTTCCAAATACTTTCCATTGCCAGGCGAGCAATACACGTGATAAGCGTCGTAAGGAAAATGCCTCGTGTTGTTACGATGGACTCGAGTACCATTGGCGAAAGTGTGGTAAGGAGGGCATAACCGGAGATTGTTAGTTGGATTGCACCATGGTGTGGTGTCGGGATTTATGATCATCTCACTGTATCGCGTTACGTCTGAAGTCACATCCCCATCACATGGCTTGCCATTGTTCTTCCAACAACTACCAATGTCCATTAGGTAGAATTGGCTATTTGGACCTCCTCCTTTCTTTATATCCAATCTGAATTTAACTTTGAAATTCGGGGATTTTGGCACCTTACATCAGCAAGAAATGATAAAAAACTAGGCCGAAAACCGCATACAAAAATGGATTTAATAAAAAAAAAAAGAAGAAGAAGAAGAATAAAAAAACTTACAATTTTGGACATCCCTCTTGTTTGATAATGGTACCCCCCTGAGAATCCTCTTGTGGCATCTGATCTCAAATAAAGCATTAGCCAAGGGTAATTTGGTGACGTCTTTAGGAAATGATGAAAAATCCAACTTCCCTTTCCTACAATTTTCTTCCAAGTAACTGAATAATACGAAGTGTTATTTGTCCTTGATGCCGTACTAATATCAGCATCCAAATCCCAAGTTCCATAAAATCTTCCCCTTAGACTTTGTACCCCTCGAGTATGATGCACGTGCGTGTAATCATGGTAAATTCTCGGCATGTTCATACACCCTTTTCCGAAGCACGGGAATCGAGACTCCGGCGGAAATGGTTTCGATTTCTTGCCGTTTTCCGGGCATATAGCAGCTTCAGTGTCCATATTGCCACTCTTGAGCATTATCATCCAGAATTGCCATGGATTTGGCTTGTCTTGAACTTGGCACTTGTACCCTAAAAATCTCTCTTTCCATGCTGCATATTGATTAACATTTATGTTCTTTAGACCCTGCCTTTCAGCATTTGCTATTCCTAGCTTATTGTACTTCTCATTCACCTTATGCACCAACTTCACTGCAAGAAATATCAAACACAAAATAAGCAGTGTTTCGCCCTCAGTACGAGAGGTTTATAGTAAGAAAAATTTACAGTCGAGGGAAAAGGTGTACAGTACAAAGACTTACGATGGGACGAAGAATTATAAATATCGAAGCAATCTGCCTGCCTTGGACTGCCCATATGGGGAAGTTCTTCATGAACTTCATTACATTGATTCCAAGCCTCAATGGCTACTCTAAGACCATCTCTTTTCATCCCAGGATCACCGATAGCAGAAATTTGTTCCTTCCATGCTGTAACAAATGATCCAACTAGTAAAGAACACAGTAAAAATCTAAAGCAAATCCTTTGCAGTATTTCAAATGCCATTCTTAGTCTTGATTCTCAGATTTACTATCTTAATATGATTATATATATATATATATATATAAACAAGTTTACTGTGATCACTTTCAAGATTTTTGATGATTATCAATCTTTATCTGTGCATTGATAAGATAAAGCAGAAGAGTTTCTTTGCATTTCAATCTCTTCGATTTATGTCATTTGTTGAGTTCTTCTAGGAGTCTCTTAAAGTGCTTAGAAGTCAAGTCGACCTAAATAGTTGAGTTGTCAAATAAATATTTTGAAGCTTTTCCGTACTAAATAAATTCTGGACACAAATTAGTGAAGGAAATATGAATAAAGCAACGTTACAGCAACTCATAAATATTGTGCTAAGCCAAGCAACTCCAATATCGGTTTTTTTTATCAGTTATTCATTGCTAATACAAAACCGTCCAATACTTTTAGGAATTAATTTTTATTCAAACATGCATTTAAATTCCGTTATTTTTCTTAATTAATTTGTCTAAGACGTTGTTGATGCTGTCGCCGGGTGTATTTGCATTTGGGGAGGTGGTGTTTGGCCCTGATCGACGTCGAAAGAATAAGGTGGATAAATACCTTCTTGCCCTTCTTTTTCAC